CTTTTCATACTATTACCACATTTCTTACATTGATCTTGCATTATTTTTATAAAGATGTCACAGAATGAGATCAGTAATGATTCTGTAGAAGGTTGAATTACTTCTATACTGAATGGATGAAGAAGGGTTATTTTGGCAGTGAGACAGTGAGAAAATCATTGAGCACAAGTTACACAAAATATCGCTTCAGGTAACTTGAATCACACAGAATACCTGGATGCCCCACGTATTACATGGAATAATATTAAAAGTACAGTGACCCTCATATTAAAACTGATGTCATTTGGTTAAAACTATATTTTTCAAAGTTGGGAATTATTTTTGTACACAACAGATTTAAGCAGAAGCTTCACCCCAAGGATTAACATATAAAACTATACTTGTTATGTTGGAGGGAATTGATCATTATTTTACACGAAGAAAGAAACAATTGCTTAATTTAATATGAAGGGAACAACAACAAAAAAGAGTATCTGATTTTGATGTGATATTCAGGAAAAATTTAGTTCTACATTTATTGTTTTTTAATTTTTTTCCTCTTTGCTTCTTTTGGTTGGTTTGTTTTGTCTTTGAATGGAGAATATATTGAGCAATTTAGAATTATTCCTATATAGAATGCATTAAAATTTAAAAATTGGCACAGAATTGAAATCTCAAATCGGAATAATTCTCCATCAAGTCCAAATAAGCACATATTCACCAGGAGTTTTATATAGTGTGACTGAGCTACTCAAGAGGGTGACCACATGTCCATGACAGAACGGCCTCGTGGTTCTAGACATTGTGGCAAAGGTGCTCTCTGGCGGACACAGTGAGGAAATAATAACAGTCCCTTCAGCTGGTTATAGATAGCACATCAATTTAACAGTGTAATTTGAGGATAAAATTGCCTCATATTAAGTAATGACCCGAGAAATGTGAACATTCAATTATGTAACTATACATCAGAAAATTCTGTATCATAAATGAAATCCTTGGGGCTATTTCACTAAAATTCCAAACCACAAAATCATAATCCTGAATATCAGTGATTCTTAACCTTTAGCTATTTAGTGTGTTTGTATTTGTGTGTGTGTGTGTGAGTGAGTGTGTGTGTGTGTTTAGGGAAAAAGACTTGAAAACTCTGAAAAACTTTAAGTGAGGTATAAAAAAGAAATATAGACATAAAATTATCCCAACTCTTAGTAATATTTCCTCCTTGTCATAATCACAGAATGATTCTAATGGCACCAAATTAAAAAAACACCACAGAAAAATGTCTGACATGAACAAAAGGGATTTAGAACTACAACCACATAAAATTAAAGCCAAGTGAAGCCACATTTAATCATTTATATTAGTAACCATGATAATATAAATGAAGAGTCTTGGTATAATACTTTCTAGCATAATCTCTCCAATCTACATTATAATAGCTCTACTTCATTTCTTTCTGCCATGCACATACATGCATGCATACACATGCAAACACATATTTGCACAAATACCCACAATAGAAGCCATCTATCTTATTTTACACATTTCTTTTCATATAAATGTACTGATTAGCTCAGTTAAAAATATCCCTTACTCTGATAATTTTTTCTTCATAATACTCGGGTTTCTTTTCTTAGAAGTTTTTAACAATCTTTTGAAATATGCTTCTTATACTGATACTGTTTGTGATGGAACACATTCTTTCTTCACAGGACATGGAAGACTTTGTCCAGAGCTCTGGAGAGAACGGTGTGGTGGTGTTTTCTCTGGGGTCAATGATCAGTAACATGACAGAAGAAAGGGCCAATGTGATTGCTTCAGCCCTTGCCCAGATCCCACAAAAGGTTAGATAAAGTGCCTAGTGGTGGACAGCTACTGAATGACTCTGTTAAACTTTGTAAAGAGGACAGTTGCAGAAATTTTCTCTCCAAAGTCTTAACTGTTAGGATAGTTCTATTTATCTCAGATGTCAGCTCAGAATCTAAAAGATACATGGAAAATGCTACAATAGTAAAGAGGTGGGTTTTCATTTATGCTAACTTTGACATTAACAGAGTGATCATAACAAATATACTGAAAAGGTGCAGTGAAGTTTTGATATTATCATGGGATTGAAAGCATGTACACAGAAACGACCAAATTCTGCCCTGTCTTTTGATGCTATTACTAACAGATTTCCTGAGGGCACTGTATGCACTACAGATATTATCAGAAAGGAGTTAATTTTAATTAGTGTCTGCATTAGCACAATAACAATTACCAGATATTGAAAAAAGTGTGCAAGGCATTGCAGTTTAGGATTCCGATGCTATCTGACCTCTTTTACTGCCTATAAATTTGGAATAAGGCTATTTGTTGTGCTGTTCAGAGTGGTATTGAGAAAAAGGGTGATTGGGCTGAGAAATCACTACCACAGGTACACACCTAGCCAAGGAGATTTATAGAAAGAGAAAACCTTGTCTGCCTGTCTCGACTGGGCCCTGATAATGAAAAGATGCAGATGGGATCCTGCCCTTAGGGCAGAACTTGTGCATTATATCATGTAGCCTCACAGAGACTCTGATGTCACCACTAGGTTAACAGCTCCTTCTGTTGAGGAAGGAGAATGGAATAAAGGAAGGAGTCAATCAGAATGAAGCCAGGAATCGAAAGAGGTGCAGATGTCTCCTCCATAAAATAGAATAAGAACTTATTTTGTAAAATATGGAATACACTTGTAGTCTATGTGTATTCGTGAATTACTTTTTAGTTTTGTGTCTGACATAGACTTCTCCTAATGACCTGTGCTACTGTTCTGCTAAAAATTCTAAATTATTCTGACGCTCACATAGAAAGTAGAAGGTAAACACTTGTGCATTAAACTCCAGTTTGTAAGGATTTCCTGGGAATTCTACAATCAATAGCTTCTCTTGGTACTGGCCCTCGAAATAGCTCAGTTACCGCAGACCATATGAATCACTGGTGTAGCCTATCATGTAGGTGTTAATGATCTATTAAGCAAAATTTAGCAAAATACAATTTAAACTTTTTCAACAGCTGGGCTCTTATTCATAAATTGCCTACTGTCTCTATTTTTCTACATGGAAAGAATTTCCAAAACTAGAAATAGTGATGATACTCTGAGTTTTTGTCAAAAATTGCCACTTCAACTTTTCCTTGGAAGAAGTGCTTAACAACTTCTAACAGCAGTCATGCATACTCTCAATGCAGCATTGGTACTTTCTCACAAGGAGCTCGTCTTATAGATATTTTTGTAAGTCAAATAATGTCAAACTGTAAATAGATTACTTGTATAACAAGTATATATGAATGAACTTTTACTCATATCCCTCAAATGCTTGAGGTGATAGATACCACAATTACCTTGATGTGATCATTACACATTGTATTCCTGTATGAAGGCATCACGTGTACCTCATACATATGTACAACTATTATGTGTCCAAGAGAATTAAAAATAAAACATTTAAAACAGGAAACAAAAAGATTATTATTAAATTTAGAAGATGGCAGCTAGTATAAAATACATCAACAAATGAAAA